TGATGAGAGTTGAATGAACCAAATCATAATGTGAGAATAGGTATATGAACACAAAGCCCAATCTTTTAAATTGCTTATTGCTAATCACATCGACCCTCACCTCCAAACCTTATGTCTTAGAAACAATGACTTTATCTCTATGCGTGCGCAATTGGAGAGAGAAAAAAAAAACCTAATAAGCAAAACACAATTTTTACACATTAGACTTGAATTTGTGACAAAAAATAAAAAGTAGCCAGAGGAAGAATTTGTGGTTTTAGCCTGAAACTCATTTTCCTATGGCCCTGGAGATTTCAAAATAGTTTTCGGTTGATTTTTGCTGGGGGAAAAAAAAGGAAATTAAAAAACAAAGCAAAATGAAAAAACAGCTTCTGCCTGATGATGGAACGATGTATTCTAAACAATACTTTCCCACTCCTTCAATTTCAGTTTACAAGCATTGAGAAAGGAGAAGTCTCGAGATGCAGCTCGCTCCCGCCGGGGAAAAGAAAATTTTGAGTTCTATGAATTGGCTAAGTTGTTGCCACTTCCTGCAGCCATCACCAGCCAGCTTGACAAGGCATCCATCATTCGACTTACGATTAGCTATCTGAAAATGAGGGACTTTGCTAACCAGGGGGATCCTCCATGGAACTTGCGAATGGAAGGTCCTCCACCCAACACATCAGTAAAAGGTAAGCTTTAGGCCACTGTTTGGTCTTGAATATGGTGGTCTGTAAGTGTCTCTAAGATGAAATGTTTACCATCATCCTTTCTTCTTTTCCTGCATATCAAATCCTTTAAAGGGATACAAATGTGGAAATCTGAACTCTGCATGAGAAAGACACCATGTGAAGGTGAAATAAACCTCTTCTTCTATTTCTATTTTATTTTCAAAAAGTCTGCTACCCTAAATAGTCTATTACTTTAATATATAAGATTTCACAGAAATGAGAATGAAATGATTTACACATTAAAGCACTTCTGGAGTTTAATTTGTGTTATGCTAATACATACAGATTCTTCTTGAGGGGTGGAGCATGGGAATGTTCACTAAAGGTTGGAACTGATTTGTTCTGATTTACGTAATCAAAGAGAGGAAGGGAGTGAAGTCCAAATGGAGCAGGGGTTTTTGAGTTAATGATTTTGTTGACCATAAAAATCAATCCATGTGTTAATGTTGCCTAAAAGTCATAAATATAAACATGTATTTTTTATTCAAATTCTTGAAGCAGTTAATCTTTAATTTACTATTTTTAAATGTTAGGCCTTTTTTGCTCTGATATTTAAGACCAGTATTTTCTTGGGTGTTCCTGAAACACATAATAATTTATGGCATTTTTAGCATTTAAATATGCATGTATGTATTTATTGATTCTTTTGTGGAGTTGAACATTGATTTTCTATCCTTAAAGGTTCAGCTAGAGTCTCATGTCCGAACTTTGTTTCTAGACACTTTGATGAGCACAGAATAAAACTGGGCTTTTTGGGAAGTTATAGGTGGCCTCTTTTTGGGGGGAGAATTAAGTTCTTCAGTCCTATGATTACACCTTGCCAATTACCTTTTGAAAAGTCCTTATAGTGTTGTAGGAAATGGTAGTGATGGGGAGCTGTAATCTTTTATAGGATTTTCATTCAATTGAAGGGTTAAAGCAGTTACTATTTGAGATTGCATACTAAGAGCTGTGATCATATATATGACACATGTATGTGTGACTGTCTTGTAGGTTAAGCACCCCTAATCCAGAAATCCTAAATCTGAAAGGCTCCAAATTTTCTTAAGAACCAACATCATGCCACAACTGGGAATTTCCACATTGTGAAGCTTTGTGTCATGCATGAATAAAACTATTACAATATTGTATAATATTACTTCCAGGCCATGTGTACAAGGCACATATGAAATATAAATGAATTTTCTGTTTAGACTTGGGCCCCTTTCCAAGATTTCTATTATGTATATACAAATATTCCAAAATTAGAAAAGATCTGAAATCTGTAACACTTCTGGTCCCAAGCATTTTGGATAAGGGATACTTGATCTGTAATTTCATAAGGACTGTGAGAGGAGGGAAATCAGAATTTAAATTGCAACAGATTATTTTCTCTAGAGCAGGGGTTGGCAAACATTTTTGGTAAAGGGCCATATAGTAAATATTTTCGGCTTTGGTGTCTCCTCAACTCTGCCAGTATAGCATGAAATCAGACATAGACAATATGTAAATAAATGGATGTGGCTATGTTCCAACAAAATTGTGTTTACAAAACAGCAGCCACTGAGTTTGGCCCATAGGCCATAGTTTACAGACCATTGCTCTGGAGTATATGACATTCAAAGGTTGAGGAGAAAACACAACTGAGGTTCCTCTCTGGTAGACAATGGCAACTAAATAGAGGCACATTCCTTCTGTCCTTGTACAACCCCTCTATCCTGGCGAATGTGTATATCAACTTGGTAACGCACTAATGCATGTTCTAGATACTAAAGTAGTAACGAATTTTCCCAAACAAAAGGTTTGACTATAACTCTATTAAATATATTTTAGATGTGTTTTTCACTCTAGTTTGATGCATAGGCTATCTTCATGTTTATTTCAAATCATGAAGGATGAAATAAGTTCAGTAGGTTAGAAATTGCACAGTGTGAAAAATTTGTTGTTATTCAAGTTGAAGTAGGTTGATAGACTGGACTTGCATTTCTTTAGCATAATTATCTTTTACTTCCATTTTAAAAGAGTTTGTTGTCTTCATAGTGACAGAGTCCAAAGTAGAAGAGTTTGATGGTAATTGTTTGTCACTCTGTTGTGATATAATAGTCCAACTTATGTTTAGAATTTTGGCCTTTTAAGATGCAAACTTTTAGAATATATAAAAATTTGACCTCATTTTACATATAAGAGAACTGACTATATGAGTAAGTATTAGCAGATCTAAGGCAAGAATCCAGTTTTCTTGCCTTTCTTTCTAGTGCTCAATCTCTCATATATGATTTTTATTAATTATATCTGTTTGGGGTCACTACCATCAAACATTCCAGGTATAATTTTCTTAGCTTTAGACTATGACTTTAGTCAACTCTGTAACTATTTATTATGGTGTAGATAAACCATGTCTTGGCCCCATGAGTGTTACAGTCTGAGGAAAGGCATGGGGTATCACTAAGAAAAACAAGCAGGTGGAGATGGGTGTGTTGGAGCCTGGGAGGAGATAGTAGATCTTATTAGTTAAAAAATTATAGCCAAATTATGGCAGATCATCTACATTGATAAACATGGACTTTCACTATTGATTAGCTGGCAATACCTGGAACTAAAAATGTAAGCTCAGTGACTCCATCCTGTTAATCCTGGCTCTCAAAAGCTCCTAGCATGTAGTGGACACTTTTTGCAAACTGCTTCTGCTATAGAGTATATGTGCAATTTATTGCTCTACTCTGGGCCTTTAATGCAAAACTGCTACTCATTCTGATCAAACATTCATGAAACAACAACATCAAAAGAAATTCATTTTAATTTATTAAGGTCTTCTCTGTTGTGCCCTTGAAGAAGTTCGTATGGATAAACAAGCTTATATAAATAGCCTGCGGCATCGTGTTAGTGCAGGTCATAATCCAACAATGAAAACAATAGACATTGTACTTGGTGCCTCTCCAAGCAGTCACTTGAACAGACCTAAGGGCATTTGGAAGCTTGTATGAAAAGCACCTTACACTATGTAGGCAACATTTTTTAATGTGATGAGTTGATGATGTTAATAATTAAATTTCAAAGCTTAAATTTAAATTTGTCCCACACAACTATATAGAACTTTAATCATTTTAATTTACTGCTTTGGAAAGGTCTTTTACTCTGCTCTGCATTCATCACATCTTTTCTTAACAGTCTGTGAAGGTTGATGAGTTTATTTAGTGATGCCCATTGTATACAGATTATTACAAGCTATGTTTGCAGAGAAAGCACTCAGGTGACAGTATGTAATATGTCCCCAGTCAATTACTTCATGGAAATGATATGTTAAGCAATTGGAAGGTAACAGTTTTTTTTCTATTATTTTAGAAATATCTGTATTGTTATAATACAGATCAAATCTACAATGAACATTATATGCATTATTCAGGAAAGGACCAGGCATTCTCAGCAGTGTTTCAGCTAAATAACTGATGATTGTAACCTTTAAAGAAATCTCATTGTGGTGACTTGGTAAATCACTTCTCCATTCATAGTAATCTCTGTTTAGAGGCTATCTAGAAACCATTACATCTTTTATTAATCTTAAAAGCAATAGCTGCTGATTTGACATTTGCTAAAACTAGATAAATTTTCTGTCTTTCTTATATCACAGACTTCAGTCAACTTTTGGAGTATGTCTGTTGCAACTCTATTAATCCAGGAATATTTACTATTTTAAGCATAAGTTTTATTTTAGTTTAAGCATTGCAGCTTTTAAACAATTTCCTTGTGTGTGACAGCCCATGATGTTAAAACATGAAAAATATCAGACATTCCTAGTCCTTAGAAAAGAACAATTGAAAAATATGCATGATAACTGGTGATTAAACTGACTGTACATATTATGGAAGAACTTTACTCTTTTCATAAAATTTCCCTTACTGTTTCTTTATGAATTAAGTTGTAGTTCTTTCTGAGAGGAGAGACTTACAGGTCTTCATTTAAGCAACGTGTTACCTATTCTTAGTCAAAGACCAGACTCCTATTTAAGCAATGATGTTTCATGGAGTCACTTAATGTACTCATATAGGGTAATTTAGCATAGGTTATCCTCTAGAGTGACACTGACTTACTACTGCAATGGCTGTCCCCAAAACTTAGGTAGCATTTTATAAAATGGATTATCTTTCAGTAGAAAGGTAGAGATTCTGAGGCTGTCTGGATGATAGATCTTCTTGGTCTAAATAGCACAAAGGTCTTCTACTTTCTGCTTTGGCACTTTACTGTGTGCCAACATGCATTTACTTCTAACAAGTGACATTTATGCTTGGGGGCAAGTGTTACATTCCTCCTTCCCGAAAAACCTGTGAGAGGAAAACTCTTAGGTTTAATACACGGTCATGTACATTCTGCTTATGACATTCCTCTTCTCTTTTTAAACAGGCAAAGGATAGAACCCAGACCGAAATCCTAGGTTCTGAGCAAAAGCTTCCTGTAGGGGTAAGAGAGTAGGCCTAAATGTGGAAACCTTGTTCTTGTCTGACTCCTATTCTTACCTCTGTCATTCTCAGAAGGCTCACTGCTCTGGTCTCTACTTTCATTTGCCTTAACTCAAAGTTGCTGTTGTCACCAAGTGGAAAATGAGCCATCCAAAAGCTGAGCTGCCAACATTCATTACTGTTTACTTTGGTAGTGAGTGCCAGCTCTTACTAGTATATGGAAATGCAATGCCTTTTCTTAGGCATGCTTCTAGGATGGCTTTTTAAATTTTCTTGATTTATTGTGCATTAATATGAGGGCATTTCATTGTGCTAATTCCACACATGTACACAGTGTACTGAGAACATGTTCACCTCTCCATTATATTCCCATTTCCCCTCTCCTCTTTTCCCCATCTTTCAAGCAGTGTTTGTTGGTTTCGTGATGCTGTCTTCATATGTAAATATGTAGCATACTCCATCCTCTTACTCCTCCAACTGACCTCTCTCCAATTCCCTATTCACACTCGTGTCCCATTATTATTATCATCATTGCCATCATTTTAGGTCTAAGTTCCACAAATGAATGAGAACGTGATATTTGGCCTCTTGAGCTTGGCTTATTGTGCTCAGCATGATCTCTCGTTCCATCTATTTTCCTGCAAATGATGTAATTTCATCTTTATTCGTAGCTGAGTAATATTCCATTGTGTGTGTGTGTACATATATATAATTTTTTTATTCTTTATTTTCTCATTCATTGGTTGTTGGGCATCTTGGCTGATTGCACAGTTTTGGCCATTGTGAAGACAACATGAATGCGTGGGTGTGCAGATATCTCCTGTGTATTGATTTACACTCCTTCAGATATATGCCCAAGACTAGTTTATTGAGGAACCTCCACGGTGATTTCCATAGTGGTTGCACTAATTTACATTCCCACCAACAGTGTGTGAGGGTTCCTTTCCCCCCATGGCCTTGCCAGCATTTGTTGTTTTTTTCTTGATGATTGCCAGTCTGACTGAGGTGAGGTGGAATCTCAGTGTAGTTTTGATTTGCAGGTCCTTTGTGGCCTAAGGATGTTGAACATTGCTTCATGTCTTTAGTAGGCATTTGTATTTCTTCTTCTGAGAACTGTCTGTTGAATTAATTCGCCCATTTATTAATTGGATTATTTGTTCTGCTGTTTAGTTTGGTTTTTTTTTTTTTTTTTTAGCTTTTTGTATATTCTGGATATTAATCCCTTATATTTGAATAGCTGATGAAGATTTTCTTCCATTTTGTGGGTTGTTGTCTCTTGATTCTGGTAACTGTTTCATGTGACATGTAGAAACTTTTTAATTTGATGCAATCCATTTCTCAATTATTGCTGTTATTTCTTGGGCAATTTGAGTCCTATTCTGAAAATCATTATCTATGCCTGTATCTTCCAGTGTTTTTTCCTATATAGTTTCAAGCTTACATTAAGATCTTTGATCCATTTGGAGTTGGTTTTTATATAGGATGGTAGTGAGGGGACTAATTTCAGTCTTCTCCATATAGATAGTTTTCCCAGCACCATTTTTTTTATGGTACTGGGGTTTGAACTCAGGGCCTATACCTTGAGCCACTCCTCCATTCCTTTTTTGTGATAGGACTTTTTCAAGATAGAATCGTGAGAACTCTTTGCCCAGGCTGGCTTTGAACCACAATCCTCCTGATCTCTACCTTCTGAGTAGCTAGGATTATAGGCATGAGCCATTGGCATCTGGCTCCAGCACCATTTTTGAAGAGGTCTTGTCTCTACTATATGTCTTTGGCTGTTTTGTGAAAGAGCAGATGGTTTTGGTTGTGTGGGTTTATTTCTGGCTGTTCTGTGCCATTGGTCTTTGGGCCTGTTTTGGTGACAGTGCCAAGTTGGTTTTGTTACTATGACTTCATAGTATAATTTGAAGTCTGGTATTGTGATCATTTCTAGCGTTACTCTTTTTGCTAAGGATTGCTTTTGTTGTTCATGGTCTTTTATTCTTCCATATGTATTAGGATTGTTTTTTCTACTTCTGTTAAAAATGACATTGGGATGTTGAGGGACATTGTATCAAATATGTAGATTGCTTTCAGTAGTATAACCATTTTCATGATATTAATCCTCCCAATCCATGAGCACAGCCTATTCGTGTTTTCCTAGGAGCTTGAGGTATACTCATAGAATTCTTTCTTCAATATTTTATAATTTTCATTGTAGAGGTCTTTCACCTCCTTGGTTAAGTTCATGTGTAGATTTTTTTTTTTTTGAGAATATTGTGAATGGAATTGCTTTCCTGAGTTCTTTCTCTGGCTTTTCATTATTGGTATATAGAAAAGTACTGATTTTTGTATGTTGATTTTATATCCTGCTACACTGTCAAAAGTATTAATCATCATATCTAGGAGACTTTTGGTGGAATTCTTGGAATCTTTTACATATAGAATCATATCATCTGTGAAAAAGAATAATTTGACTTCTTTTTTCCATATTCAGACCCCTTTTATTTATTTCTCTTGACTTACTGTTCTGTCTAGAAGTTCTAGTACTACATTGAAAAAGAGTTGGGAGAGTGGACGCACTTGTTTCATTCCTGACTTTAGAAGAAATGGTTCCATTTTTCCCCCTTTCCTAGCAAGTTGGTTATAGGTTTGCATAGCCTTTATTATGTTGAGGTACATTCTTTCTATTCCTAGTTTCTTCAGACCTTTTATCATGAAAGGATGTTGAATTTTATCAAAGGTTTCATACTGCATCAACTAAGATGATCATGATTTTTGTTCTGGATTCTGTTTGTGTGCTGAATTGCATTTCTTGATTTACATATGCTGAACCATCCTTGCATCCATGGAGTGAAACCAACTTGATCATGGTGTATGATCTTTTTAATGTGTTGAATTCAGTTTGTATTTTATTGAGAATTTTTTCATTTATGTTCATTGAAGAGATTGGCCTATCATTCTCTTTTTGTGTGTGTGTGTGTCCTTGTTCGGTTTTAGAATTAGTATTACTACTGGCTTCATAGAATGAGTTTGGTAGTGCTGCTTTGTTTTCTATTTCCTGGAATAGTTTAAGGTGTATTGGTGTTAATTCTTTTTTCGGTCTGATAGAACATGGTGGTAAGTCTATTGGGTCCTGGGTTTTTCTTTCTTGAGAGATTCTTTATTACTGCTTCAATTTCATTGCTTATTATAGTTATAAGTAGTTTATATCCTCTTGGTTTAATTTTGGTAGGTCAAATGCATCTAGAAATTTAAGTGTTTCTTCTAGATTTTCCCATTTGTTTGAATATAGGTTTTCAAAGTATTCCATCATGTTCATCTGGAGTTCATTGATTTGTTGTAATACTCCTTTTTCATCTCTAATTTTTATTAATTTAGATCTTTTCCCTCCTTGTCCTTGACAGATTGACCAAGAGTTTATCAATCTTATTTGTCTTTTCAAGGAACCAACTTTTTGCTTCATTGATTCTTTGTAGATTTTTTTTAGTCTCTTGTTCATTAATTTCTACACTAATATTTATAATTTCTTTCCCTTTGTTAATTTTGGGTTTGGCTTGTTCTTGTTTTTCTGTGAGCTTGAAGTACATCATTAAGGTTATTTATTTGAGATCTATTTGATTTTGTAATGTAGGCACTTATGACTATAAAATTTCAGATTCTGGTAGGTTGTGTTTTCATTTTTATTGGATTCTAGGAACTTTTTGGATTTCCTCCTTATTTCTTTAATGATCCATTGGTTGTTCAACATTGTGTTGTTCTGTCTCCATGTGTTTGCATATTTTCTGTAGTTTCTTTTGCTGTTAAATTCTGATTTTATTCCAATATGTTCTGATAGATATTATGGAGTTATCTTAGTTTTCTTATATTTTCTAAGATTTGCTTTGTGTCCTAAGATTTGGAGAAAGATCCATAAACCACTGAGAATATGTATTGTGCAGCTGCTGGATGAAGTACTCTGTAAATGTCTGTTATGTCAATTTGGTCTATCATGTAGTTTAATTCTGAGGTTTCTTTATTGATATTTTTTGTTCTGATTACATATCTACTGGTGAGAGTGGAATATTGAAGTCTCCCATTATTATTCTGTTGGGGCCTGTTTGTGTTTTATGTATAGTAGGGTTGGTTTAATGAAGTTGGGTACACCAACATTTGGTGCATGTCCTCTTTCATTTCATTGATAACTCATATAATCATGTTTTTGAGTTCTTTGGGCTTTCTTTTCCTTTTTACTATCCTTAGTATCTGTTACTGTGGGGTTGGTGACCTTTGGGGGTACATTTTGAATTTTTTCATATTTCTTTTGGTTCTGTATTGAGATTTACACATCTGAGATCAAATTCATTGACTGGAAGTTTTGATCACCTTCATATGCAGTTGAAGTATTTGCAGTGTTCAGGCAGGACTGTATAGTGGGAGGGTTGCGATATAGTTTCTCACCACTAGGTTGGGGGATAGCTCCATAGGCATGCTTTTGCCTGTACCAGGCCTGGTCCCCAGCACTTCTCAGAGGAGAAGTCTCCAGTGTTTTCCTTTTTTATGAGTTAATGTTATATGTGGGATGAGGATGGGGCTGGTCACGGGTCTGTTGTCTACTTCTATGCCATTTCCATCTTAGAAGCTTCCCTTCTTTTTGTACTAGAAGCCACTACAGGTCACATGGTACTTTTTAGTCTATAGGCCAGGCAAGTTCCCATTTGCTATACACGTCCCCCTGTCTGTGCCCAGAATAATATAAATGCAACCCCCTCAGGATGTCTCCTATGGGCACCTGATACTGGGGGCAGGGGAAACAAATAGCAACTGAACTCTGCTGGTACTGGGACTTTCTCTAGCCAAGGAGGGTGAGCCACCACCAACCATCAGGCCCTTTACTGCCTGCACTCCTGATGCTGCTTTAATTTCTCAACTCACCTGTGTCAAAGTTCCCCCTCTTTGCAGCTCCTTCTGACTGTCTCCCAATAGTCATGAGCTGCAGTTGTTTAATTTGCTAACTGTCCTGGCTGGCTCAGTCTTAAA